GAAGCAACACCGGAAGCAACGCGTATCATCGAACCGAGTTGCATTCAAGTAGCAAAGCGATTGAAACAGCAAAGCTGAACATCATGGCCGGAAGCTGCACATAAACGCAAAAGCAGGATCGTCGGTCGGGCCCATGTTGGACGGCCTGATAGAAGTTTCGGGAATCGCCTGGGGCCGATCTTGAAAACTCTATCGGGCCGTCCAACGCAGGCCCGCTCGACAATCCCAACGACTCTCACCGGTTCGGCCCGGGCCGAAAGACGTAGGCGGTATCTGTCGGGCCCGCCCGCCGGTCCCACTGCGTTTCCCAACAGTGGACAGCGGCCTCGCGCGGGAGCGTTACGCGAGGACCGCTATTTGCTTAAAGAGTGTTAAGGATATAGATACTTCCTTTTCGTTCCACTTCCAATATGTGTGACGCGTGAGCTCACACGCATGCATTGGTTCCTGGGTTGTATACTAAGTTTTATGCTACGGTTTTGGATTCCGAAGCAATTGGATGGGCTTGTTTTTGGTGGAATATCTACAAGTGGTTTGCATCGGTTAATCCATTTTTTCAAGTTTGTGTTTCTTGTTGCAAATTTCGGAGTTTCCCCTGCGACTTGTATGAATTTCTTTCTTTTGTGTATAAGGAATAGGAATTGGCGTAGTAATTTTCGCAGGCGTTAGCGAGCGTGTTCAGACTTTCTTTTGAACTTTTCATTTTCAATTTGGTCATAGGAATTAGGTGCAGCTTCAGTGGCATTCCGTGCAACTGTTTCGGTGCCTTTACGTTTTTCACGAATATGTTGCTGCGCACGCGCTTCTGCATGCAATCTTCCCACGCGTGCTTCGTCCTCCTTCGCGCCTTCGCCGCTAAGCTTAACCGTCTTCTTCTCCCTTGCTTCGCGCCTATTCCTTCTTGATCCCGTTGAATCTTGGTCTTCCCTTATATCGTCTTTCGTAACCCCCTTTCCGGCCTTTGTCTGCACTAAGGAAGGACCTCGCCAATGCAAGTGACCGTAGCAGTTGGACGACAACGTGTAGAGAGGCTCCGAGCCGCTCACATTGCAATCTCATTGGCTGTGAGCACTTCGATCTGATCAACATGGCCCATCTGAGTATCCCTTTCTCTCTTTGTTCCTCTCTTTTCACTTCCCGATCATGCTTCCTCCACCTTCTACGCAACTATAAATTTCGTAGATGCGTCCCTTGTGCTCTCTCGTCTTCCTTGCCATGCATCGGCTAACTCTGTTGGAGTAGTAGCTAGATAGCGGTGGTGATCAGCGAGTCGAAAAGTCTTGACAAGTCTACCGCAACTTTCCTGATTGTGGACTGGATCGCTGCAATGGAATGCAGGATCTAGGCGGATCAGCGTAGGAGTTGAGTTGACGGGGTGATGATCACTGGGGTTTGTGTCGAGTACGTGGCGACGGGGGTCGTCAGTGCCCGACCGGGGTGAAAGGTAACGGTTGATTGGTTGGCTGGCCAGGGGCCACAGTTCAGAGAGCGGAGGATTTTGCGCGTTCTTCTATCTATTTAAAAGTAAAGTGTGCATGGCAATACACCATTCTTCTCGTCGCTTTCATATGTTTGTATATTTCTCTCCTCTTCCCTCTCTTGCCTTTTCAATTGACTCTATGTCATTGGCTTATGGATGAACATGTATGCTTGCTCGAGTATCCCTAAGGATAATCTGTGGGTATATGTGTGCATCGCCGCTATGACTTCTCACTTTCAGTAAGAATCGCACGAGGCGCAAATCTTTTGGAAGCGCAGATGCATGCGGGATTGTTTGATCTGATGACCTTTCTATGTTAAGTCATGGATGTGTGAGCTTCTTGAGAATGGATGTGTGAATCTTCTCTTTTCCTTGTGCTGATGACATGTTTTAACCGCTCGCTTTCCACCTTTTTGATGATTGTTTGGATTAACGAGTAGTTTTGACGATTAGCGAATGTGTGGCTGGATGTTGCCTGGTTAACGATCGGTTTGCAATCTCTCGTAGTTTAGTCACCGGTTGCAGGCTGACCCTCTTCTCGTTATACATTTCCGCTTGCATGACGAGCTGAAGAGAAGCTTGTGACGTGGCTCCTCACTCTCGTGTCAGGGATCAATTTGTTTTGTGAATGGTGGATGTGTGTGAAGTTTGCCGCAGATGACCATGTGGAATGGGACTAACGGACCTTCTGGGCCACGACTTCACGATCATCCCTGCTCACACCCGTTCCCATACAACGAGGATAGGACACGTGTATGCGAGTGGGATGTGCACGAAGCTGTAGCTCAGATCGGTCGCCCGATCAATTCCCCTCTGAGATGCAGTGTTTTGGGTCCGTTAATTATGGGTTTGTGATGATTGGCACCATTACTCCCTTCTCCATTTTGCTTCCCTTTAATGAGCTGATTGTCATTATGTGCCCGACTGTTGCCCCATACTGACCTCGCACTTTGTGTTCTGATTGTCGCCATACGGAACGACTAAGGGAGCGGGGATTCGTCTATACACCATGTGGAGAAATGGAAGTCGCAGAAAGGGCAGCCAGGTTGCACCCTTCCGACTCCGATTTCGAACTTTGCGAGATGCGGTCGGACCCTCGTCCATAGATGAGATCTGGCATACACACCCGCACCTTTTCGGCTGGGAAAAAGACGTCGCCGTGCAAGCGACGAAGTTCAAAGGTACTTTTTGAATTAGATAGTTGATGCACACGGGTTTGTCTACTTCCGCTGTTTCCCTCCATAACCGGAACAGCACGGGAGATTCCAGTTCCGACCTGGAACTCCACACTCAAAATTTTCCAAAAATCCTTGGTGCACCCCCATTGCAACTTTCCAGCCCTTTTCCCCCTTTTAGTCACTCCGACAAGGAAAGCAGTGTAGGGCATGAGGTTGAGCGTCACATTCGTGTGGAAGGAACTTGCTGACCGACGCCAATCGAATTAGTTTAGTTCATGTGGGTGATCTCGCTTGCACATCAATCACCTCCTATCTTGAGTTTTGCGCTTGACAATCTTCTCATCCTACATAATAACTGGCTTTGCAACCTCTTTTGTTTTTCTTTGTTTTTTGTCGAAAAGCTCCGATCTATTCGTGGGGAGTAGCACGTGCTGGGAACCGGGCCTAGCGTCCCGTTGGAAAAACTCAGAAATACATTAACATCCGTAGCCACTACTCGACTTAGGCTGATTGCGATAGGAAAATCAATAGGAAAAGAATCAATGCTGGAAACTTGGTCCAGCGTCCCTTTAGACGAAGCATTAGGCTGGAAAGCGGCTCCAGTGTCCCACTCTACAAAACAGGGCGCATGCTTAGACCAGTATGGGTCCAGTGGGGTAGGTATAGGTGGTGGTAGGCTTGGATTTCCAGCCTAGTTGTTTTTGCCAAGGGACGCTGGACCCCGTTTCCCGCATGCAGGGTAAGGGCCTTGGGAGATGGAGGGATCCGCTGGTGCTCCCCAACACCCGTCTTGGTCTCAGGGCTTTGCAACCTCTAACTACCATCTTCACCGGAATAGAACACCCGGTCATTATCGCTCCATCTAGACTGAAAGTTGCCCCAAGTACATTAGTAATGACCGGGCGTTCTATTATGGTGAAGATGGTAGTACATATAGGTAATCGAAAGGCAACCTATCACTGACCACAAAAGACACCTTGTGTCTCACCCTCTGCCCTTCGCAAGAGAGATTGCAAATAACAACGACTGTGTTGTTTGCCAGTGTAGACACTACTGGCCTCTTCAACCCTTGGATCCTCTTACTAAGGCGTACAATGCTATGGGTGTGGGATGGTACATCTGCTAAGGCTCTTGAAAGCAGAAATCTAATCATCAGTATGAGTGCGCGACAAACTCACGGTCAACAGCCATAGCCACCATCATTTGTGAGGTTGAGGGAGTAACAAAATAGTTGAAAAAGAGACTGGTGGCTTTAATAGACTTCCCGAGTGAAGTGTTCATCCTCCCTCACCTTTCCCATGACTCTGGTACACCTCCTGACCCAGATGTCCCAGAGAAGTCCCAATCTGCCTATTGAGGACAAGTTTATACGAAACTTAGTAATTTCTTACTTACAGTTTGCTCATGTCCTCGAAGGATTGGCTGCCAGTCCCACTTCCAGTCACCTCTTTTTGGCAGTCTGAACCACACTGCCTCCCACTACCTCTAGGTCATTAGATACACACTTGCAATAATAGATAACACATGCGAGGTTTTACTATCGCAGCATACACGTCCTGGCCATGGCATGCGACAACTGTCGCGATTACCCTTC